TCGCTATCTATCGAATTATCTATCTACCTATCTTCAAGCATCTATCTATCTATCTATGCCTGGAGTGTTTCTATAGCTATACACTATACAGCCAGGCATTCACAGTCTAAAATATATATACAGCGCTTTCCACCCTAGTTAAGCATATTTTGTATAATGTAATATTAGACAAACAAATATATGCTTAGGAATTAGAAAACATTGAACCATGAAAGAACAATCAATCAATCAATATGTTTAATTGACTTAAATAAAAAATTCTGCATTTTATGTGTGCAAATAAAACTTAAAATGATAAAAAATTAAATGTTAGCAGAAATTCTTATCAAAACATTTTAAAAAGGGAACAATTTTTCAATGTAGATGAGCAGGTTAAAAAAATAGTACTGTTTTTAAAAAGTAATTATTTTTATAAATATATACCGTACTTTAAAAAAAAAATCATTTACTTTCCTTAAAGTACATTTGGTTTCCTTAAAGTACATTTGGTTTCCTTAAAGTACATTTGGTTTCCTTAAAGTACATTTGGTTTTCTTAAAGTACATTTAGTTTTCTTAAAGTACATTTAGTTCCTTTAAGTACATTTGGTTTCCTTAAATACATACAATTTCACTATATATAGTACTATAGTACGTTTAGTTGAATAACCAAACACAAAATAGAAAGTTGTCCTGCGCGCATAAATATTTAATCATTTGATTTAGTTTTTTTTAACCATTTAAAATAAAACTGGACAAAGAAGTGAGTTTAGGAACTGAGTCTTTCCCACAAAATCAAAATTTATAATCCCCATATCTTTGCAACCTGAAGGTGTAGACCTTAGATAATTCAATCTTAAATTATTTGATCTAACAGAATTCATTTTTTGAAATATCTAAGGTCTGCAACACTGAGTTGCAAAGATATAGGGATAAGAAAATTGGAGTTTGTGACAAAGACTCGATTTCTTTATAGCCCTCAAGAATAAAAGCATGAAATTCGAGAGTTTTAAGAGAGGGAGGGGGGTGCACACTTTCGAGATCTTTACTCAAACTGATTTAGAATTTTTGTTCTTGTCCGCTTATATCCAATAAACGCCTTAACGGCTGAACCAAACAGGCCCAATATTTGTAGAAAACCCCATGGGAAGGTTGAAGGTTGGTACGGGAAGAAAACGATGCGATGTTTTTTTTATTTATAGATTTGGAATACACTGAACAAAACAGATAATTCAGCGAAATTTTACATAATGTATATGAAAAATATTTATACAGTTAAAGTAAAAATTGAAGGCTAAAATTAATACAAGGAAGAGCTCACAAAGTGCCTTAGCAGTCTAATATTGTTGAATTTTTTTTTTGTAGACACCCCCGATGTTAAAAAAAGCGGAATAAAATTTAAATCTCAACCTGGCCTCTCCCCAAAAATTGCCCAGTTTCACCATTAAAAAAATGTTAGGATTTTAGGAGTCAAAAACTGTAAAATATGAAATCTCAATTGAATTGGAGATTTCTTTTTTCATCGGTAATATTAATAATTGTAAGTTCTCTGAAATGAAAGCAAATTTTATCAATAACTTTATTATTTTGTCCATATTTCATCTTTATCGATCTAAAAATCTATTGGTTGGGGGGGGGGGGGGGCGGGGGTTGTAGTCCTCCTGAAGTACACATCTTTAATCTTTGAGTAACTAATAAAACTGCACAAACGACTAAAAACTATTAAAAATTTTAAATTATGATTTGTTCATACAAAATGTGCAAAAGAATTTTAAGTCGTTAAATGTGATAAGCTCCAGGGTCCCAGATATTTTTTATTATCGCCCTGATTTATCAGTTCAGTCCTTCTCCCAGCTAGCTGGGACTTATAATCACAATTGGACCTTTTAAACATATAGGAAGGATATTCTAATCAAATAAGTTTGAATTTCAAAGGTTTACACCATCAAGTTACAAAAATATTTGGATTTGAAAATTAGAGTTCGTGGCAAAGACTCAATATCTTTGGTCTCTTTTTCTCTTTTCTACAATGTTTGATGTCTGATGAGTTTCAAATTTAAAGACAACTATGTTTTAAAGATGGATGAATTAATTAATTAATTAATTAATTAATTAATTAATTAATGGTTAATTCAAATTAAAGAAACCGAACCCTGGTTTGTCTGCAGAGGAAGGGAATCCACGGACACCATGAGCCTTCGCTATGCAGAGACGCACAAGTGAGCACGCGCCATACATCAAAATGTGCCTGTGTAATACAGGAGGTTTTTTAAAACTTGTGTTAATTAAGTTTAAAGAAAAGACTTTATTAGTTTATAGTGGCATGAGAGGTTTCTCAAAGATGAGAAGTATTTATCAATTATCATAAGTAGTGCCTAATTATGACTAATAAAGTTGTATATAAAACTTTAAAATTTCTCACATGAAAAGGAAAATATGAAGAAAAAAAATTTGAATTTAATTTCATTTCATCTATATAATAAAACGAGAAATTCATATATATGTTGCGTATAGCCGGCCAAACGGCTGGACCGAATGGGCTGACATTTTTTGTGGACACTCATGGGTGTTGCAGGCTAAAAAAATCTATTTTTTTCAAAATTTTGCTTGAAAATTTTTTGTTTTCATTTTTTTCCACGGGCAACGCAGGGCCCTTCAATTAGTCATTTGTAATCTTTGATTTAAGCAATACCTGTTTTTGTAGTTTAAATTAAATCTAGAAAATTTGTATCATTTATTTAAATCTTAACATTTTTCAAAAAAAGGTATTGTTTAAATCAAAGATTACAACAAAACAAACTAAGTTTACTCCTGAAATATTTCTCCAAATATCTTCCTTTCTGCGTAAGAAATGTTTAAAGTTTTATATACAACTTTATTAGTCATAAATTGGCACTATTTATGATAATTGATAAATCACGGGAAGCCGTAGTACATTTGAATTTCCGAAACGGGTCAACCTTTCCGGTCCCAGTTTGTACTGTATTAGCCCGGACATTGGGTATATAAAGCAGGCAGTAGGCACTCAATATGACAAGCCGGTGCAACCGTGGTTGACTTGGTCAGACTTTAGGTTGAATTTACTTTTACTAAAGAGTCAGGGGTGCGTGAAATACTTCTCTTCTTTGAGAAACCTCTCATGCCACAATGTCGAAAAATTTGTAAAACATTTTTATTTGGATTTAAAACACAAGTTCAAAAAAAAACCTCCTGTATTACACAGGCACATTTTGATGTATTGCGCATCCTCATTTCTGCGTTTCTGCATAGCGGAGGCTCATGGCGTCTGGGTGTTCCCTCCCTCGTCTGCAGGGTGAACGAGTTTCTTTGTTTCACTCTTTAGAAACTGCAGTACACTTTCTGAACAAATAAATGTCATGTCTCAGAAAAAGGAAGAAAGCAGATCTTTGTGAACAAAAGTTTCTCATGTTGAACTCAACAGAATCATTTTTTTTTGTCATAAACAAAAAATTATGGATGAGAGCAATTTGAAAAAACAATTTTGAAATTGCAAGAGAAGTCTTTACAGATTTGGCAATATGGCAATATGGCAATATGGCAATATGGCCAGTAAAAAAAACATATTTCTATCTGCCATATAGACTGGGATATGTTTCGCCTCATGAAATTGATTATAGGGCCGGAAACTTATAAACCATTTATGAACCTGGTTTCTTTTATGGGTTAGAACCTATTTAAAGGTATCATTCGAGAATGTTTGTATTTGGCAGTTTCTTAAACAAAATCATACAAAGCTGTTTGTTGCAAGCAATGAAAGCAAGCAATTATTTGGTCAAATAAAATTCTATTTGATTTTAGAATAGCCATTTATTAAATAGGAATAGGATTGGTCGTAAAAGAAAAATAATTATTTTTTTTATTTATTTCCGCGACATGGGTTTTATAATAATTAGCTTCTAAGCTGAAGTCAACTATTCTTTATCTATCTATCTATCTATCTACCTATCTACCTATCTACCTATCTATCTATCTATCTATCTATCTATCTATCTATCTATCTATCTATATATCTATCTATCTATCTATTAATCTATCTATCTATCTACCTATCTATCTATTAATCTATCTATCTATCTACCTATCTATCTATTAATATATCTATCTATCTACTTATCTATCTTCCTATCTATCTATCTATCTACCTATCTATCTATTAATCTATCTATCTATCTACTTATCTATCTATTTAATCTATATATCTATCTACTTATCTATCTATTTATCTATCTATCTATCTATCTTGCTATCTATCTATCCATATTAAAAGATTCTACCCTAGTACAAAATAGAAACAGCAAATTCCTAAATGAAAGCAGATAATTCTGAAAAGCAATAACATTTTCGTCTATTAGGAAAAGCCTGGATTTGCACTCAATAGTTGTTTTGTTTTGTTTAACAACCAACAAGAATAATCTTGATTCACTTTTTTGGATCCTTTAAGCTGACCAAGAGGCGGCTCTTGATATATTGCAAATATCATCCTGGAATTTTATTATTATTTCAAATTTTAGAAAAAATTATTTTTTTAAAAAGCTTGTATTGTATTTTGTATTGTCCACAAAAACGTGTTGAATTCTGACAAAAACTCCTTCATGGTTTTGCAGCATAAATCCGCGAGTCACCTTTATAAAAAAATTACAAGAAAGAAATGTTTAATCAGAAAAATGAGAATATCTCATTGATCATTGATCAGACTATAACGGTTGAAATGGTACCGTTGTGAATCGAACATTTTCCACTCTTTTTTTAAAAAAAAGTGTCATTTGAAATAACATCGTTATTTTACAATCCCTTTATTGATGTTACGACATCAACGAATTGTAATAAAAAATTACAATATTCAGTGGCACCGTAAAATGTAATTTATAAACCGTAATTTTGACTTTAAACGTTTGTCGTTTCAACCGATGTATTTTTTCTGTCTCGAATCTCACAGCACACTTTTATGTAAAATACTTGTCAACAATCACAAGTACAACTGACGATTAAAAACAGGTACAATTCTTTTCTAATGTTTATTTCTTTAGATAGAATGGATGGAAAAATAACTGTTTTAATCTAGAATAATCTCACAAATAAAATCAGCGGGTGCATCGCAGTCCCAGTCATTCCACTTGAACTCACTAAAAAAAACATTTATTGGTGCCTTTCAGGTTTGTAAAAAAAAATCTTTGCAAAAAGATTTTTTTTGTTAGAGAAAAAAATTTGTTTGTTTTACCTGAAACCAAAGATGGATTCGTAATGAAGGTATGAGAGACAGTTCTGAAAAATTATAAGTTTCAATATTTTCATCTAAGTTTATTTGTACAAATCATTTTTTTTAAATTGGACAAATAAAAAGTTTTTTCCTTTCCAGATCGATCCAAATTACATTATTACGTTACACAGATATTTAGACCCGCATGATAAGTATTTACCATACCGTAAACGACCGATATTTTGACCCAGCCTGACTCCCGTCCGCGTCAACTCTACCGTAGGGCGTACATGCGCCTGATATTAAACCCAGCCCGACTACCTTTTACACTTTGACCGAAATTTTCATGTCTAATATTTTAACCCGCCTGCCTAAATAGGCAACTACTGTAATGTACACAATTGTCCTTTTGACGCTGTACATACAAATTACAATTCAATTCTCTTGTCTCATTTTAAATACCAAACTGTTCTAATAGAATTCTCAAATTATTTGGCGTGACAAGTACTGTTCATGTATTTGAACTTAAAAATTTAGTATCGGATAGTACTTTGATACGATTTCATAACAAGGAAAAGTCCTCTCGTATAGATCTTTTGGATAGATAGATATAATATAGATAGTTATGGAAAGTAGCTTTTTTTCAGGAGGAGGGGTAGGTGGGGGGGGGGGGAACATCACAAATAATCAATAGTTATATTCTACCTGTCCGTTGAAATTGTTTGGTTCATTATCTCCCCAGTCAAACCATTCAATAGAAGTATTCCTGTGTTCCCACATCCAGGTACCGGGCAGGTGGTCATTGTGATGACCAAAATCCCGGGCACCAAGCCAGTATTGGACTCCGTAGTCAGGACGACGGGTATCTGAAATTTAAAGGGACTGTCAGCGTCATTTCAAGTGACCCTCAATGCGACGATTGTCATGCCAGATTTGCAAAGGTACCAATGAAACCTTTAACTGACATAATGTCAAAAATATTGTGATTTTCAAGGTTTAAAAGTATTTATTTCTTATAATTCCTTACAAGTGTAAAAAATCACAAATCACTTTTAAGAGAAACTGCATTGTAAAATATTCCATTTCAAAATTATAAACATTGATATCTAATTCATATTTGATCAGATAAAGCTTTTAAGAGTTACGGGCATTGTCATCTTTGCATGGAGGGTTACGTGAAATTACGCTTTCAGTCCCTTTAACTTTAAAGAGAGTGTTTGGAAAAAATAAAGTGGGAGATAAGTTGAAAATTTGCTTTCCCTGTAAGAAAAAATATCCAAGAAAAACTGAGATTGTGTAAGAATGTTGATATTTAAAATTCAACCTTCTCTGCTTCATAACTTGGATTAAAAATTATGTCTAAAAAATGTTAGCAATTGCAAGAGAATTTTTCTTTTAATTGTTACATCTAAAATTCAGTTACTTTCCTATTTTTTATTTTCTACATTCTGTAATCCTTAAGAAAGTAAATGAGTCTGTGCCACAAACTCAAATTTTCTAATCCCTATATGTTTTGCAAACCAACGAAGTAAACCTTGAATTTCAAACTTGATTATTTGATCTAACAGAATTAATTGTTTGAAATATCTGAGGTCGATGATATTGGGTTGCAAAGAAATAGGGATAGGAAAATCAGAGTTTATGACAAAGACTCAATTCCGTTCTTAAATTTTTCATTCAAAGAATGCTAACGGAGTTGAACACAATATCAATCAGTTACAATTTTACGTTGTTCCTGCAATTTAAATTTTTCACTTAGTTCGGAAAATACCATTTTTGTATAATATTGAATCTAAAACTTAAATCATTAATACTCTCTGTAAGCACTAGCCTTGTTTTTTTACCTGCTTCCTGGACGGCCTTCTCGTATTTCTCAAGAAGTTTGTTTACGATCCAGTTGTTAAGATGAGGACCATAGGGGACCTCAGCCATGAATCCTCCCATAGCGTTACACAGAAGCTTAGCGGAGTCATGAGTCACCTAAACTTTGATATTCAAAACTTGAAATTACAGCTACATCCCCTTGATGTTAGAAACACCAAAGAAATGAAAAAACGGTCTTGTATCAGAATTTAAATTTTGCCGATTTAACATTCTTTTCTGCAAAATATGCATTTTTTTCCAGTCACAATGCATTTTTGTAGAAATACTTTTGAGACCACAATTTTTTAAACTTCAAAGTATAAACGCATTTTTTTGCGCATTTAATATATTATTCGTATCATCATCGTATTTTGTAAAACACTTTTCGTAAAATTTGTCTTTTAAATATTTATTTATTCACGTTACTTTTTATGACATTCTGTTGGGTAGTAAAATATGGTCTGGTTGCAAAAAATTTACGAGCTTCAATAGCGCATATGCGCATATACGCATATACGTATATACGCATATACGCATATACGTATATATGTATATACGCATATACGCATAGACGCATATACGCATTTTGACCGGTTTATAAAATTTGTCATTGAAAATTTAAAGAGGCAATTTCTGTGATTTCTATGGTTTAAAGGGATTTTTCAACCCCAACGGGGGCTGTCTGTTGATCGCCTCCCGCTCCCCTGGAAAGAAAACAAAACTTAAGCCACCCCTGGACAAATTCCAAGACACGCCCCTGTTATTATTATTACTATTTTCATTATTATTATCAATTATTATCACTAAAATTATATCATTTAAAAAAATACTTTTTGTATTTATTACCTGTTCTCTTCGTTCTCCGAACCAGAAGCAAGAATGGTGCTCCTCGCCAGCCCAGCTGGATGTATACAGCTCCCAACCATCATTGCAGAAATGGGTGTCTTCTAAAAATTAAAAAATCATTTAAAAAATTATTTCCTCTCATTTTGGAAATTTTTCTTTTATAAATCAATCTTCAAGAGGTTATCTATAACATCATCAATTTTGTCAAGGTTAAATTTTTCAACTTACTTCATAAAATTTTTTAACTTTATTATTTCTTTCTCGTTTCATGACCAATTTCATTACATCGGTCCTGTCAAATAACTATCGTGCACTGTAATGTTATATCAGAGCTGTGCTATACAAAATAATAGGTTCCCGGATTTTCTTTAAAAATTTAAGGATACATCTGGAATGTTCTTTTTTTAAATGAAAATAAAACTAAAATTAAATATATTTCTAATTTGTCAAAATTGTGGAGAAATAACCTCATTGTATTTATACAAGTGCACAAACATTTCATAAACTTACAAATTACACTTATACTCAAAGAGAATAGAATATGTATTAGAGTGGAATTTACTAGAAACAAGTGTAAAACGGCCATTTTGTTGTACTGTTTCCATACTGCAGGTGTACTTCACATATTTACGCTATATATAACCTTTTGGGCCCTGGAATATCATTTCATAGAAAATCTAAAATTAATATTAAAAGAAAACCAAATTAAGAAATAGGCTGGTTTCATAATTGAGCAATGATCATTTCAAATAGACTCTATGCCTTTCACTTTACAAACGATGTATTTCCGTTATAACTATAAATCAAATGATGTTTTTTATTCACCTAATTCATTATAAAGTTTATTTAACAGCTTTAAAAAATTCGAAATTGAAATGGATAGTCTAGGGAACATACTGTATTAATTTACTCTACTGCATAAATTTTTTTAATATTTACATGATTTGTACACTTTGAACACCCTGGCTGAAAGGGACTGACAAAATTCAAACCGAGAGATTGTCTAAATTCCACTCTAATATATATTCTTTTCTCTTTGGTTATACTACCTAAGCCCAATATCTTTTTAAGCCAATTTTTTATTTTAGTTCTAACCGAAAACTTTATATACATATTCGCGTTATTGGTACACTCTTCTTGCTTCGAACATCTATATATAAATTTGGCTTGTCTGTCTGTCTGTTTGTTTGTCTGTCTGTCTGTTTGTTTGTATCCAATAAACGTCAATACGACTTAACCGATCGGGCCCAAATTTTTTGTGGGACATCACGTGACCACAGGGAAGGTTTATGAATGATAAAAATTAAAAAAAATGTGTTTCAAAGGTTTTTAATTTTGTAAAAAATTTAAATTCTTGAAAATCCGCGAATTTTTTTTAAAATCCGAAATTTTTTTTTCTTTTTTGTTTTAAAATGTGAACAAAAAGAACATGTTCACAATTTAAATTCGCGCCCTAAAAGCCTAGCAGTGTTATAAATATTAAGTTGCATTGAGATTTTACGATTATCGTAAAAATTATTTAAGTTAAACTTACGTGCTAGAGTTAGTCCTAAAAGGAGGGAGGCAAGAATATGCCTAATCATCCTTACTGCTGGGCGAACAGGAATAAAAATACATATTCTTCCATCTTTATATAGTTTATCTTATCTTTAACATGCTAAATAATAAATTCTACAAATTAAAATATTTTTTCCGGTTTTATATATTATTCAAATAAAATATAACAACCTTATATTGTAAATTCTTACATTATTAATATTCTAAACCATACCAAATATATAAAATTAGTTGTAAAATTAATTGTACAATTATGTGGGATTTCTAAGAGCAAAGTTCAATAGGCCAGATTTATGTTTTTACGAAAATTATGTAATTACACGATTTTGACAAAGAAATAAAAAAAATTTAAATAAGCGATAAGATGAAGCATGTATGTATAGAGGGTCAGAATGTTCATGTTATCTTATACTTTATATAGTATGTACTCTTAAACAGTTCTTAAATACTATAGGTGGAGTACCTGGTGTTCCCATGCATGTTTATATTAATACAACCCTTAGAGGGCGCTTCGCGCCCATCTTCTAAATTAATTGTGAACATGTTTTCTTTGTGTACATCGCAAAACAAAACAAAAGTGATTTGCAGATTTTCACAAAAAATTTCGTGGATTTTCAAAATTTTCAAAAATTTAATGAAGATCGAATTTTGATGGAGACAAATATTTTAAATTTTGATATTGGTATTATATCATGATTTAAGCTCAAGTGCTGCAGCATTGCCTGTTATATTTCAAACATTTCCAAAACACTGTTTAATGTTTTACATTTTGATTTAATTGAATACTGTATCACTATTACTATTTATTATTGTTATCTATGTAATGAAGCTCTTCTACCCAGTGCTTAGGATCCAGATCCATTGGATCCGCAAAATTTTGGCTTCCTGGATCCTGATTCGGATCCAAGGGGTAAAATATCAACAAAAACTACCAAAAAACTTTTTTACTCCTAAAACCCAAATCAGAACTTTTGAAAAAAGAGAGATTATAAAAGTTTTAGGATAAAGTAAGCAAAAAAAATGAAACAAAAAATTTGAAAATTATTTTTGTTAAAAAAAATTTGGAAAATCATTAAAGAAATGACCTGGATCCGGATTTGGATCCGGATCTATTTTTTTCCAGTGCGGATCCAGGATCCGGATCCGGATCCGCATCAAAATTAAATGGATCCTAAGCACTGCTTCTACCATATATATAATAGTAAATGTTAGATATATAGCTGGACAAACAGCTCAATAAAATTGGCTGAAATATTTTAGGAAACCCGTGAGTATCTTGGAGAGTGGTGGTAACATAGACTTAAAAATTCGAAATATTTTTAAATAAAAAAATAAAGCCTTAAATTCTTTTATTTTCCATAAAAACAGAATCCATAATTTACTTTGCTTTGATTAAAAATATTAGATGGGGAGCGTGCAAAGTGCATGAAAATTCTTCATACATGCATTGTGTTTGAAAGCCTTGGCATAATATAAACTAATTTTCCATGATTTCGTATGTTTTCAAACACAAATAATTTTAATATTTTTGGAGATAAGATAATGTTTGTTATGGGGGCCGGCGCGCGGGGATTGCAGGTTGAAAATGAACCAGTACAGGGTACAGTAAATAAGATAGATTGGGGTCAGGTGGGGGGAGGGGGGGGGGACAGGCCCATAACCAGGATTTTCCCAAGGGGTGTGCAAAGAAGGGTGTAATAGTATGGGCCCGGGAACACCGAGTAAAAGGTAGTGAACGAGGCGGGAGGGGATGCAGGTGGAGGGGGGGGGGCAGAGCTACCTGCATTGAAAATTTTCAGAATTTTGGTATAGAATCGAGTAATTTTAGCTTGAATCTATGTTATTTAGGAAACTTTCTAATTTGTCAGCAACAAGAGAATTTAAGCTCAAACTGAATGTTACAGTGAAAATTTAGTTTTCCCTGAATTTGATGTGTTGTATGATATGGCAAATGGAAAATTTTCATAATTTGGTTTGTAGTTGATTTTTTACAATATTGGAAGACAGAAAATGTTGCTAATTTTGCTATTTCTACTCACGTTCACTGATTTTCAACTGTCTGGACAGAATATTGAAACTGAGGCAATAAGTTTCTGCAAAATTTAAATAATTGAATTTGATGATACGATAGCTTGGGAACCCAGCGCTGCCAAGGTTACTAAAAGTCACTTCTGTCGTGTACCCGCACTTAAACTTAAAATCTTAAAACCAAGCTATGAACATTCCCGTGGGCCTCCCGAGTTCCCCAATCAAAATTTAAGGCAAATCGGTACGGGGGTTCCTGAGTTATGATCGGACAAACAAACAGTCAGACAAACAGAGATTACAACTTTACATATAAAGATGCTGGAACATATTTACTACATTTTTTATGTATGTATATTGTATATCTTTTAATGGGGGGGGTGGGGGCTCAAAAGACACAAATGGGTTTTATAATTTAATTCAGGGAACCCAAACAAAATGATTTAAATAATTTTTTGAATTAATAGCTCAAGTATCCAACGTGGCGGATTGAATTCTTTTTAAAATCGAGTTTTGAAAAGAAATCAAAATTCGAAAAAACCCGCTTTTTTTAGTCTATTTTACCGCCCGAAAAATGAAGGGTTATCTAAAAAATTAGCAAATTTGGTTTAGCCGTTTGGTCAGCTATATTAAATCATGTAGCTTCATGAAAATTAGGATTCGAATATAATTTCTTTGGTTAACCCCAGGCCACAGTAAAAAAATAATTAACCTGAAAAAAGATAAGGTGTAATCTTATGTGCAGAAGCTGTAATTGCGGAAATTTATAGGACAAAAAGTTAAAAAAAAAGACAAGACTTGAACATTTTATTGTAGAAAGATTCAAAATTCTAAGAATAGCATGCAGTGTGTCAACTGTAATAAAAACACCATAAACACCCGCCTTGGCCCTCCCCCCCTCAGCCCNGAAAAGTGAAAAAATGGATGCCATTTAGCATAAGGAATTATAAATATATTTAAAGGAAAAGTGAAAAAATGGATGCCATTTAGCATAAGGAATTATAAATATATTTAAAGGAAAAGTGAAAAAATGGATGCCTTTTAGCATAAGGAATTATAAATATATTTAAAGGAAATTTAAAATGTCTGAATAATAATTGATGTTTTGGATGATATTTGATATTTTCAAAAAATAAATATTTTTTTTGGATCTTGAATGATTAATATATTTAAAGAACATTTTGTAAAACACAATTTGTAAGATTTTGTAAATATGTGTTATAACTAGAAATATTTAAAAGGGCTTTTAAAATATTCGAAAGATGGTTAATAATATATATATAATTTGAGTTTATTTGAAATATATTTTTTATATTTCCTGTAATCTGAAAATCTAATGTTTTTATCATTCGATCATTTGATGTTCTACTGAAATAATATAAAACATCAAAATATAAATATTTTGTATTTTTCTTATAAATAATGGTGAACTTATTTATGTGAGCTTACCAAATTTAGCATAAACTAAAAAAAATTATGATTTGCAATAAAATTACAATATCAAAAGCTTAAAGCTTTTGATGTTTTTTTTAGAAAATTCAAAAATCCATTTAACTATTTGAATCTAGATTTGAATCAGGTTACTATATGGATGCAAGAGGGGGGGGGGGGTGCTTTAAAAATCTTGTTTTTTGACTGGCCAAGGTTGAAAATGATTTGTATATTTGCTGCTTGCGACGATGTATGTTGGTAAGTGCTGTGTGTAGAGAACCTAGTCTCTCCAACTTTATAGTTTAGACCTTCACAACAATCCTACTTTCCGGGAGCTGGGGGGTCAGGGGGGGGGCAGGGAGGGGAGAGGTTGCGTGCTTTTAAACATTTATAAATGCATGCAGTTTTTTTAATGGTCTATCTTTTAAAAAAAATTAGTGCATGCATGATTGTACAATGTTTTATTTATCTTTCTGCCAGCATAAACAAAATTTAAGATTTTTTTCAGCGATCGAAACAAAAAAATCTAGGAAAGTTAAAAAATAGTTTTTTTTGTTCCACAACAAAAGTCGAGCATTTGTCAAGTTTCCGCGGACATATTGATCCAGGGAAAATACTGGTGAATATCTGTAGGCGACAGCTTGTAGATATCTGGGAGTTAGGGCCAGGAACGGCCGAGTCCAGCTGTCACAGCTGTAGCTAGCCCGACAACAGCTTCATTCTTCAGTGCTAGTCATACGACAGCTTAATAGGAATTCAAGTTCTCTCTCTAATGCTACTTCAGGATGAAACGATAAGCAAGCAGACAAGATAAAGCTAGTCGCACTTTTAAACTGCCTTAAACAAATTTAATTTTTAAAAATCATTTTCATAACTAAATTTAGATTTTATTGCTGATCAAGTATATTGATACGTTTTTAGGCCATTCAAAGATTGTTTTTGATAGAATGCAATGGCATAACAAATTTTAATAATTTAATAATTACTCTATAATTTCAGGGGTGTATATAAATATCAATACATTTTTTGTTTTAAATATGTAAGAAAGTCCCGGGAAAAAAAGTTTCTGGAAAAAAACCTGAAAATAAAAACTTTGGAAAAAAGTCCGAATTTTCTCAAGTCCTTGGAAAAAATGTCACTGGAAATTTTTTTCCGGAGACTTTTTAATAAAAGGACTTTTTTCCACAGAACTTTTTTAGTGTGAAATTTTAGGACTTTTTTTCGGAAACTTTATTTCCAAGGACTTTTTTGGCGGTTACCGTTATATCTACATTTAAATAAATATATAATAAATTACAACACAAACAATTTGACACTTAAACAATCGCACACATTTTCCTCTCTATATTACTCGGTAAATTTTAACAAAATAAAAAATCTAAGATTTTTAAAATACTGATATCCAGATGACCATATTTTACCCTGGGGGTCTTATGTGATGTTTCACAAGAAATATTTTGGTATACAGTACAGTGTGAGTTAAAAAAAGTGTGATTACTATCGTCTTAATTGCTATATCAGACTTTTTTGTTTGCAGTACACTTTTTTTGATGGATTTCAAATATTTTTTATAAGATTTTCCAAAAAGATCGGATGCAGGAAAACGGAAAAAAACGTCGCATGTTGTATG